AAAACCAGTGACGAGATCCCCCAAACGCAAGACTTAACGTCTTGGTCGAAGGAAATGTAGATAATCACTCAAAAGTATATAGTACCTTTGAAATATACCACCCTATGTTGACTATGTAGAATGTTAACGGGGAAAGAAACCAGCAACTCTGAATGCCCTCAAGCATAACAATGCTTATGAACACAACTTCTCACCTTTTTTAAACAAAAAAAAAAAATAATAATAATAATACAACGTGTTGTAAAGTTGGATTCCACTTACAACAGCTAACATAATCATTACATAATGTTGTATAACATTACACAAAAAGGGTAACATATACAATCTTCATATATATTTTTGAAGAAATAACAAGAGGTTAAACTTTAATTTAGATTTAAGTTTTATTTTAAAGTTTAATTATATCAACATGTATTGTTTTACAGACATTTCATTCTTGTATATCATTCACTAGTTTAATCTTGTTTACAATTGTATTAGGTAACTTTGTAGAACTTATTGATACATTCTTTAACAGTAACTTAGCATGGCCTAAGACTCTTTACATACAATATATAGAGAATGGTTCTACTTTCACTTACACTGATGCTTAAACTTAGTTAGATAAAAGTTACTGATTTAGCATTAATTTTAGATATGTTTGTAAATATGTTTAGTTTGATATCAGCTTCTAGTTTTATTGTTAGAAATATTTTGTAAAACTTTATTCTTTTAATAATCATTATTCATGGTCAATGATACTTCTGCAAAATTTTCCATGAATCATAATCTATTTTTAGAATAGTTATGTAAAGTACTGATGAGCCTAAAGCATTTGTTAAGTAAATTCTGGTTTACTGTAATTTGACCAATCAGATAAGTTGTTACATACAGTGCCACTTGTAGGTAGATGCTAGCTCCCTCCGGGATTCAGAAGTCCATTCATACAAGCATCGCAAGAAATATAGACATTCTGCTGGTAATTTTTGGAAAAGTAACATCTCTAAAAGCTCTCTAAGGTAAATTAATTAATTATTTAATTTATTTTTGGCACTTTGGCATTTAAATGAACCTTAGGGATTATTCAAATTCACTTAAACATTTTTGATAAATTTGAAAGTAATTTTAGTAATTATTATTAAGATTAATTAATATATTTTCTTTGTTTTAAGTGGCAGCCATCTTGAATAATATGATCTTTATTTTTCGTTGATACTGATTAAAACAGGGATTGCTACTATTTAGATTTATTAGTTAAGCAGCACAGAATCATTAAGGTTATTTTTCATATTTTCAGTTATTACATTTTTTAACAACTTTCAACTGATTTAAATCTTTCACTTAGCTAGTTAATTCTGATAATCACATTTCTGGTTTAAATATTAACATTTTATATTACAGTACTTATTGTCAACTTGTTAAGTTTTAAGTAACTTTTAGTTTAGTGTAAATAAAAACTTAGTTCATTAAAACGTTGGTTGGTTTAAAATTCATTCAATATTTGTATTTTATTTCCCTTTGCATTCAAAGGGTGGTGTCATCCTGACGATTAGATCTATCCTATTAAAGAGTACTCCTGAGCAAACTAAGAACATTAAAAAGTAAATATTAGGTAAAAGGTAACTAAATTCTATTTATAGAAAACATATTAAGGCTTTTAATTTTCAACACTACAACAATGGTGCCAAGTGGGAAAGAGGCCTGTTTCTAATTTAAGAAACACTTATTTACATATTTTTTCATCACCACAACTAGCGTATTTCATTTTTATAACGCTAAATTTGAATGTATAATTTACCCTCTGGAAATAGTGTAAACATATGCTGTTACGCATTTATGTAAATCATTTTACATCAAATTTACACCTAATCTACTACATAATTATGAAGGCTATGCAATTATCTCTATTACATTCATTTCTTGCATATTATTCTCTCATTACATACTTTTTATGCATGCATGTAGAATCGTGATGTTCAATCAATGTGTTCAAATACGATTAATTAAAAAATATGTTAATAAAATGTTATCCTATGTTATGATGTTATGTTATGTTATTAAACGCTCTCAAATATTTAGCCTTTAAATTTTCAAAAGACTTGAATATTTAGAGTGAAATATTTTTGAAACAGGCACCAACATTAATTTAAATTTACCAAATTATTTATAGTCATATTTTTGCTATTTCATGAAAAAATGAAGGTGTTTCAATTGATGACAATGTTTTTAGTTCTTCAGTTTTATTGTGTCTTATTTTTCTATTATAGCTGAAGGAGAGAAGCCTTCATACAATAAAAATCCAGAAAATGTGCTGTGACTGACTCCATAAAAACCTTTGTCGGAGTCAAGATTTTGAATTGCTTCGTCATCACCTTGCTGAAGCTAAATAATAATAGTTTGAATGGTCGTATCATCTCCACTCCCAGAGTTTCCGCCGCTTACGTAGATTTTTGTAATTGCTGTTACATTTACAGCAAATTGTGCATGCGCACTGGCAAAATGGCGGGAAACAAGAGTTGTCGAGAATACGTAAGTTCCGGTTACGGGAGAAACAAAGACACCGACATGTTTGTTGTATGCGTTTCTTTGATTGAAGTTTGAAGGGATGTCATTCTTAAAGCAAAACTAATGTAAAATCAGGTAAAAACTGCGTACGTAATAGCAAATTTTGTTTTTTGTTTTTTTCTGAGTTATAACTCGTGGGAACGAGATAGCAATTTTTGTTGTTTTTTTTCTGAGTTATAACTCGTGGGAACGAGATAGCAATTTTTTTTTTTTTTGTTGTTTTTTTTCTGAGTTATAACTCGTGGGAACGAGATAGCAAATTTTTGTTTTTTGTTGGTTTTTTTTTTGAGTTATAACTCGTGGCCACGAGATAAGGATTTTTTGTTTTTTGTTTTTTTTTCTAAGTTGTATCTTGTGGAACGAGAAAGCATTTTGTTTTTCGTTTTTTTCTGAGTTACATCCCGTGGCCACGAGATAGCATTTTGTTTTTTTGTTTTTTTCCTGAGTTATAACTCGTGGCCACGAGATAGGAAATAATATAAAATCGGAATGTCCCTCTGTGCATCCGTATATAAAAGATAATTATAATTTGATACCTTGATTCCTCTCAACTGTAGATTTTACGGACGTTTTAACTTCGGACACTTTAGCTAGATCTGAATATTCATTTTTGTTACATGACTTTAATTTCTTTAACATTTTATCCAAGTTGAAACTGTGCTGTCGCTGTAAACGAAGCTGTTTCTCTATGTACGCAACCTTGTTCTGTCGGACCTTATTTCGAGATTTCAAATCATTCACTTCACGGAGACGATCTTGAACAATATTTTCAGTAGCGGTAAGTCTTTTTAACATGAGTACATGTTGCAATGATTAAAACACACACTACATGAATATTGCGACCAGAGTAATCCCAAAACAGAAGTCCTGTGCTATTGCAATATAGTCACCTTTATGCTAAAATACATTTATTTAAATCAATCGGTCCGAAATAAGACCAGGTAAACGTCCGAGGTCATCGATAATTATCGTCGTCGATAATGAAGATAATGTCAAATTGGTTACTGGCGGGGCTGGAGGATCGTATATAGCTACAACAGTTGCCCAGGTACCAGTGCTTCTTGATAAAGATTGCATAAATTACTTAACTTTGAACCGACGTTGCTGCTTATTAAACGATGGTTTACAGTGATGGTATAATATTAATTAAAAGGAGCCATTTCTTTAAAACTTTCTCAGGAACATTATACACCGGCTGGTTGAAACATTTTGATATTCAACATATCACGTATAGTTGAAAAAAGTCTACAGTTTATAAAGTACAAACATGTTTAAATATAACACCAGGGTGTGAAGTTTTAAACGATGAAATCAACCCATTAATTACTCGTACAAACTTAAGTTTTCGTCGTAAAATAGGACCTGACAGTCTGTTTACACAATCATGTCTTTCATGATAAGAACTATCTTAAAGCAGCATGACTTCCGATTCATGTTCATTTTCATGAAAATGTAGAAAATTTATTTTACAGTAACACTTTTTGAATTTAACCAATAAAGTTATTTACACGTCACAAGCAATTTTATTGTTTTGAAGGTTTGGGAAAGGTTTTGTCGCTCAACATGCCCTTACAAGAGGCAATGGATTCCAAACGAAAACACCATAAGTTGGCTGATAACACGTTGTATCAGGAAAAAAGTTTTTCAGAGGTAATGTTTCCAAACATATTATTCAAGTATGCGTTAAACATGCGAATACCGCCTTGTTTATATTTGTCTTTTTTACTCAAATTGAATGCTTCAGAAAACAACGTATATACAAGAAACGCTTATATTTTCTTATTTGTTAAACGTTTCCGAGAACGGTTTCGTACTCTCTGAGGGACAAACTGATATTTGCCGAGTTCAGGACAACTTCTATTGTTGATGACCGTGAAGGTCTTATTGTTTATTTCCCTTTTTTCATTACACTACTTAAAATATTTTTTTTTATTTCAGGATATAAAAGAACTTTTAACCGATGCCGAAGGAATAAAACATGTAGCTAAATTTTCAACTTCAGGACTATTTTCTGTCGTTGAGTCTATATCGGTAGATGATAAGGAAACCATGTTCGGATATGCGGATAAAAGGAAAAAGCAAGGCAAAGCGAGCTATATAACAGAACAGTTAAAGCAAAAAGTTAACACATAGTATATTTTTCTGCGGTGATTTCATATTTTATTTTACAAAATGGATCTCGCTTGAGTCTTATCAGCATTTAGAATATTTGTTATTGATATAAACGTGAGTACAGAGGTAAATACTTAACTAAAAGGTATGATACTTTGGCAAAAATATGGACGTGACCAAAGAGATGAACGTGACTGCAAAGAATGGAGTGTTACAAACGGCTTATGTCAATACGTGAATAGTTTAGGTTAAAGTGTTCATGTGAAATGGAGAGCAAATCAATCTGATGATGTTTTCTGCAAGAGAATAAATAAGAAGCACCACATTAACAACAATATTTTGTCTTAAAAGTGGTTCTTGTTACAAAAACTAATAGAAAAATATTTTCTTGTTGCACAACTTAAATATATCTATTTTACGATATAACTTTTGTTTATATCGTCACTTGTTGTGATTTAGTTCTGAATGTGTGACTTTATGCTAAATATTGTGTACAAATCTTATTTAATAATATTGTCATTATTATTTATTTCAAAATATATATGAATTTGTTATCATCGTTTCATTTTTAGACAAATTCAAAAAAGATTTATTTGCATGAGATTAAAGAATAACTCTGGACGCTGGTTTTGCAAATTGCTTTGGCAGACTAGGTGGTGATACATTTTTATGAAAGGGACGATGCACAATATTAAACATCATTAAGTTTAAAACATAATGAATATACATTTCTGTTTTTTATTGAAATTATTCGTACGTCGGTTATATATTCCATTATTTGCATGCTAGAATAAACAAAATACTTACACTATTATACAAATATATTATTTTATAAGATCATGACAGATATTTTTATGTTAAACACCATGACAGTCTCAAAGTCTGAACATTTTAAACTGACAAGGTCATTTTTATACATTTTTAAAATAAATTTGAATATAAAATGTGTTTGTCTTTTAAGACTACCAATACAAGCACGCCATGGTCTAGCATACAAACACACTAGCTGTAATCTCCTCCATATATATGTATCCAACTTAAATTAAATGACAATGGCTAAGCAAATCGTACAATGATAAGACAATGGTTTTACGTTATTGTACGTTATTTTCAAAAGATTCAGAAAATTGATTTCCAAAATATGAAAATACGACCAATGAGAGAAGATATGCAATCATAAGAAGAGGTACAAATCTAACATCACATACATCTAAGGGCTATACACCAATGTCTTAACTCACAATTACAGATATTACTCCTGTTTTTATATTAATATAGAATTTTAATTACTTTTGATTGTTTTGGAGTTTCGTTAAATGTTACAGTTTTTTCTGCTATGAATCTGATCTCCCGCTTTGTACAGAAAACATATTGTTATGACTTGATGATATAATGCTTGTGCGATTTTTCAATTTACAAATATAACTTTTATGTACTTCTAATCGTGCAGTTCATCTGTTAATATTTTTTTGCTGTTTTCTTATATTTCTCAACATGTTTCTCGTGATAAAATGTTGAACATGCTTCTCTTACTGTTTATCGTTTCCATTTTTTTTAAATTCTATTTCAAATTGAAGGCACCTGTGCTATGGTGTTTTCAGTGTTTGCACTGCTTTAAAGTCTGCTTTTTGATCATGATTTGCTTTGTACTTTCACAATCTTGTCTGTTTTAATATTTTCAATGATTCTTGCGCTTCCACTGATGTCAATATACACCTTGTATACATAGTTTCAAGTCCAGTATCGAGTAGAATATCTGTCAATTCTTGAAAGTCATGACAAAGATAACAATTGAAGTTACCAATATTGGGAGTTCTTTTAAATTCACATTTCATAACATTGTATATCTGCAGGCAATAATCTTTGCAAGTCAATAGTTATAATATCTGTCTAGATCAAAGGGAAATCACTCTGATACACATGTAAGTTAAAGGAATACGGCGTTATCTTTACAAATCCTGCTCAAGTTGTTGACAAATGCACATTTTCCCTTTCTTTACATTGTGACGATTGTATGGCGCGTCTGGTAGGAAATCAAAATTGTCTGCCAGGAAATGAAGACTTTGCTCCAGATGTCTTTCAATTAACATATCTGCATACATCTGAAAAAATAAACATTTCATGCTATATAATTATATTAAAATTGTGAATGACGGTTTTATACGTATGTAAATCAGGAAAAAAACATCTAATAGAATGCCGCTTCCAAATATGTTCTCACATAGTAAGCCTGGCTTAATATTATGTAAGAAAATCATAATTTCATAAAATGAATTTTAAAAAAAGTATGGCAATCACGGATCACAGACATTTGGTAAAGCTATCCATAAGGCGCACCAATCGCCAATATTTATATAAAATTATAAAAAAATACAATGTAGGTGCACTAATAAATTCAATATCTAATGTCATCAGAAATTCTATTAATGTTCCCGAAAGAAATGTATAGAGAAAATCTATTTTTTTAATTGAATTGGTCTATTTAGAAAGGTTTGTTTGTCCATGAACAGGCTCAACCAAACCGAGCCTGCAACATTTTCAATTTTGACGTATGGGGTTTTTATCTCCACTATTGTAATACAGTAAATAATCACGTTGGTAATATTTAGTATCAGCCGCAACAGAATTACATATGAATGGTGCTGGCAAGTGTTAGATACATGTACATACAATAATGTAATACGTTATAACATATATTTATATAGCAGATAATAAGATATTCAAAAACAAATTATAATTCATCCTATAAATGTTCATACCAAATCACTCAGAACTCTATTTACAAGTCTTTCCAGCAACATTTTATAAGAAATTGAAATTGAAACATTTCTATTGTAATTATTTATATTTTAAATATTTAAGACAATGCGCTCATTGTAGACAAATCCACTTAAATTATCAGGATTATAATTGAATTAACATAAGTAAATCATTATCATTATCACTATCCACACTACAAGTCTTGTCATTCAATACAAATAATAAAAAATAAAAACAAAAGAAGAGAATAATGTTGTTTCAAGAATGAACATTGCAAACTCATTTGAATAAGCCTTCGTCTACATCATATTTTCAAATTAAAATCATCATGGTGATCTCAGTAAATGCTTTACCTCGGGTGTTAATGTCCGATCGGTCGGTGTAATATTCCTTGACTTGATAATACCAACAAAGTACTCCTGAAAGGAATATAAAGAAAAAAGATAAAACTAAATCAATGTTGCAAAGATACACAGATAATTTATACGTTTACCTTTGTACTATTTTAAAGGAGACAACATGCTTGACAAATTATATACTTGACGCAGTAAAAAAGTTTAAACAATATGATAAGTTTATATCTTGATCATTATCAAGCAAAGCCTAAATGTCCAACATTATTACACCACATAACAGAAATCACCAACAGAAATTTACAGACATTTTTGTTTCGGGTGAACAAAAGCCTATACTTTTTACTTGTAAGTAATGCAATAATGATAAAAGTTATAGCAAAAACATTAAATATAAAAACTGGACGCGGGCGCTGGTACTGGGAACATTTAACGAAACAATAAGTTCTTATCTTATTTTAATTTGAATATTTTATAAGGGGCATACAGCAATTGTCATGGTTGAACATAAAATGAAACGAAACAAAGTCAAAGTACAATGTTCACAGCTCCCGTTCTGCTATTTATTTCTTCAAATTTAAAAGTATATAAATTATATAAAACAAGCCTTTGAAATACTATTTTGATACTTTAAAATGTGAAGAAATACAGTATATAGCAAAGTGGGAGCTGTGAACATTGAACTTTAATAGAGTATTATAAAAACTGTAAAAATAATCTCGTATACAGTATATTATAATTATATACAAATAGTCAAATATTACCTTACACCTCGCAATGTTGTATCTCATTACAAGGAGCTGAATACAGTCAAAGAATCAAGAGACAAACACTGTTTTAAAGCTTTCGTACTTATTTGATAAAAAGCAACACAGAAGCAAACAATAAGAAAAGCTAAACGTAAGGATTTTTGGTTAGGAAGACATATTCTCCTGCGCATCGGTCGAATGTTTCACTATGATCGCTCACGTATATCCAGTGAGCTGCTAAGGGAGCGTAAGGAAGCTGCGAAGGGAACGTAAGGAAGACATAGAATACAAATGCCTTCATATCAAAGTGAAAATCAAAATTTAAAACATTATTTATGAAAGCCATTGTAAACTGATGTGTACATGTTACAGGTAAGAGACTCAGGTAATGTTGCACACATTTTTGGCCAAACCGTTTTGTATATTGTGTCAATATGCAATAAAATATTATTAAACGAGACATGTAGTATAATTCAGTTACATTGACTTTCAATAAACCATTTTGTATTGTGTGTAGAAATGTGTGTCTCTGAAGAATACATACATAACTTTGAGAAAAGATAAATAGTAATCACATTTGTAAAGTTTAAAAGTTGCAAATCTAAACGTTTTAAAGTTACAATTCAGCAAAAAGAGTTTTCATGTATTAAATAATAATTTAATTTGTCGGTATTACGTTATGAATCTATATCTATATGCAAGTAAAATCTTTATAATTAAATGGCTTTATCAAAAATATTCTTTACTTAGAAATGCTCCATGACGTTGATTGCAAAAGATAATATATTTATGGCATAGGAAGAGAGTTCCATAGAGTAACGTCATTTAAAACAAGCTATTTCCAGACCCAATGACCCCTGGAAGGGCATACCTTCTGCAGGTCAGAAACAAAAGCTTGTTCATGTCATTGGCCAGTGAACAACTTTAAGGAAACGTTTACAAGACACCAAAAAATAATATTTTGAAAAGTAAAAATATTTAACTTAGCACTTATCGGCCATAATGTGGCGTTTAATAATATAATATGCATTAAAATGTCTTTTAAAAGGATATAGATGGTTTCTTGTTTCTCCTGCCAGTGAACAAAAGTAAAACGTTATTTTCAATACACTCTTTACCGACTTTCCGCCATAATTTGGATTGTAGAGAGAAATCGCGCTGAAAAGATATTAGAATTATATCTAAAGAAATCCCGCTGAAAAGATATTTCAATTATATATAATCAATTTCAACGGATTAAGATACATTACTTTTTAAGAAATTATCTGTGATCATTATATACTGTGCAAAGTGCCTTCTGAAAGCAATCATAATTTTATGAGGGTACATAATTATAAATGGTCTCATTTTTTGGGTTAAAATATTAACCTTTACACCATGAATGAAAAGTACCTCGGAATAAAATAAGTTCTTCTTTACGTGTAACTTTAAGTTTTATTGTAACTTACCTGTTTCCTATGACAGCATATTGGCAAGAAGCAAATCATTATTTGAATGAATATGAATAAGGAAGTAAAGAACGTGACTATCACAAACAAAATCACATAATCTGAAAGATTAGACCCCCTTCCTCTAGTAGCAGTATCCAGAACCCATGTCGCTTCATAAACTGCAAATATCAACGCTAAAAGTGGTAGTAGAAAAAACGTCCATGCACAGTTTTTACATCGGTAAAGATAATCGTATGAGCACATAATGCTATCCTTGTTCACGAGATCGACAGTCGTATTTAACAGTTTTTCTGGAACCTGAAACAAGGAAAATAATAACACTGTATACACATACTCGGCTTCCTCTTTGATTGTGGAGAAAAACATAATTTATTCATTGCACGATTGAAACTTGTTTTGTTAATCCTTTTCTACATAAGATTGTTTTGCTTTTTTAGCCCTTTCCGTTAATCTTTGGATAAGTACCTCGAACACAATAGTAAGAATACACAGAACGGATACAATATGTCGGTCTAACCTACGCTAAGGAGCTAAACATGTAAACAAAAGTAATTTAAAGGTGGGAGTTGTTGACAAGTTCTTTTCCAATATAGCAAGTAAAATTGCATCTAAAAGTACAGAATTCATAGAATGATATAAAAGTAAAATAAACATTGCATTATTTATTTACTTTATAATATTATGGTTGTAGAAACAGAGGGTACAAAATGCCCCATGTTGTTTGACTATAATTGAACATCAGTAAGCATATTTAAATCAAAAATGGTTGTCAGACATATCTTCAATCACAAATGTACCGAAACAGACTTTAGTTTCCTTTGGATATCAAATAAGCGTTTTACATTATCGAAGATTACCCTCACATCTGAAACCATGTGGCAGATCTACTTTCAATCCGTAATGACTCCAATGTTATTATGAATAACAGCCGAGGACGTCCCGATTGGAATAACGTTACATAGAATACAATAAGAAACCACTGTTTTGGGAATGTGCCACCATTTGGTTCTTTTTGAAATAATAAATAGCGCTGAAGGATTTTCCAGTGATAATCAAATCGCACATCACAATCTTTTATATGTTAAACTGATTTCATTTAAACATTAGCAAAGTATAAATATCTGGTTAGGATCATCGCCTATTGACGAAGAAATTTGAAACACAAAATGTCAAAAAACAACTAGATACAAAGACGAAAACGCAAAAATGAGAGGACGAAAATACAATGATGATGTTGAAAAGACACAATCTCAAGTCTATAGTTGTCGCGTTTTTGTCATTGTGTCTTCGCATATTCATCATTGTTTTTTTCCTTATAGTATTTTCGTGCTTTCGAAGTTCCATAATTTTGTGTACGTTTAAGTTTTTACATTCCGGTACATATCAGCATGACTGGAAGAACATTTGCTCGCTGCCGCATTAAAATGACAACAGATACTTTATTATCACCAAGGGGGTTAAGATATGAATATTTTAGCAATCGTGTGTTTAATATCTAATTCTTTTATTATTAAATGGAAATTTATTTTTATGTTAATGCTTTCAAAACCTTTACCTTAGAAGTTTAAAGGCATTTGATTTAAAACCGTATGCTAGGGTTTCATAGACATATAGAAGGAATAATGAAAACTGTTTAATAAAATTTATTGAAACTTTGCTAGACGTAATACAATAACAGAGTATTTTTTTCAAGCGAAAAAATAATTGGGCTAATCGACCTGGTTTTCGAGTTATCAGTCCTTGAATTTGAAAACAAGAGAATTGAAGTTTTCGTTATATTTCAGGGCAATGAATATATTTAATACAGTATCAAGTGAGAGGTGGCCTTGTGGTTTTGAAACCCATGAGCACTGATTGTGAAACTTTTCTTCACAACATAGTGACCATGAGTTTTAGCGTTATTTAAGGGATTTAATTTAGAGAATTAAGATAGAAAAGACAAACAACCTGAAAGAGCAACAAACTGAATGGATAACATATGTAATAGAAAGAGTCGGAACACGATGCTATCTGATTTGTACGAGGGGGCGTAATCAGATTGCCGAGTGTTTTGATGTTCTTTCCGTTTGTATCATAGAAAAACACAAAACCACATTCCCTTTTGTCACAATATGACCCCGCCCCCCAAAAAAGTAACCAATGAATAGCCATTGAATATAATATTTTAATTGCTTTCCCTTTCTCTGCCGTCACAAACCCCATCAAAACTGAACTAATCAATGGACATGCTCTGGAGTGCGGGTTACTTATACCTGCACTCAAGTAAACGAACTGTGCATGTATATGTATACGATTGATCTTTGACACATTTTCAACAGAACGGTCTCCAAACTATGATACAGGTGCTTTTAGAGGTTGTTATCATTGGAAAAAGACATACCTCAACCTTGTTTTCCTTCAGTTTTTCTATGAGGTTATCATCAATTAAGAATCGATACTTTGCAGGTCTGACGACACTTAAGTTATCTCGAACAGCCGGAATTATAAAGCAATATCCATTCTCATCTAAAATGTATAAACATAAATATTAAATAACAATTCATTGTTTTGAATCGATATGATATTATTTGCATATAATACGGTGCCTTGAAATGAAAATAATATTACATCTGTGATGAAAATATTGGTCCTAAATATTTATTATTTATATGTACATTATATTCTATATGATAATCTTCATGTTTAGGCAAAGTTTGTTTCCCTGATATATTTTATAACATTTTACAAAGAACACGTTAAACGTGTTAAATAACAATAAATTGATTAATATTTCATAAACATTCTTTTTCAAGACCAGTTTTATAACGTAAATATTAAATATCCATTCTATGAGGATTAACAGTAGACAATATATGAGATGATCAATTTGATCCTGATCATGATCCTGCTTCTTATTTCTTAGTAAACTTGGAACCTGGTTTACGTAATATAAATTTAGGTATCAGTATGTATAATGAATTATGTCAAAATGAATCTTTGAAAATTAAAAGAAATTAAAATAAATTCTTGTTTGGAAAAAGACTTGTCTATGCTACTTTTATTTAAAAAGTTTAACTTACATTGTTTGCTAAAAGCCCGAATGTTGAGAGAGAATAAACCGTCATCGGTAGCTAGATAAAAAGGTAAAAGTAAAGTAAAAAGCATACAATCCGTGTAAAACAACATTTGTCGTGAAATAATATGTTTTGACATATATTAGATTTAAGGTATAAGGTGGGACCTGTTGAAAGAAAGTCTAAGTTTGGAAGGACTTTTATTGCCTTTTATGGGATGGTACCCAATAAATTGTCATACAAGTTGGCATGTTTTTATATGCTTGCTTCAGTAACTTAACTTACTTCTGCAAAGTTCGATTTCTTTAGATATGCATAGGAAGTAGATCAACAGTAGAGGGCTACTGCACCTTGTTTTACGTGCATTAACATCTACGGAAGCACAAGGACACAGGGCAAGTCGTCTAAGAAGTCCGAAGGCTTAAATGTAAATGCTCGCAAAAATAAGTGATATTCTTGCCTTGCATAAAAGTATAATTATGCCACAACAGCAGACGACGCACTTTTTAATTAATGATCGAAATTGATTTTCTCTTTAACAATATCTAAATCAGCATAATTTTTTACAGATTGTAACCTTTAAAGTAAATTCATTGATTTTATATTTAATTGGTCCGTCTTCTCAGGTAGTAAAAAGAGCGTTAGAAGAGTTGAAAGATTAAGTACGCAATGTTTACACGCACTATTGCATATACATACTGTCGGTAAAGTTTATCAGGTTTAAAACTGCTTTAGAAAAAATAGCTACATTGCGTTCATTAAATGTGTTTCATATCGTCTTCCGTTCCCGTTCTTATTTTGGTGTCCAGACAACAAAAATGAGTTTTATAAACCTAACATTCTGCAACCTCATTGTGGCGAAATCTGACGTACAATTTCTATTTGCATGAGACACTCCGCCTTTGGATCATCCGTACATCAATACAAATTCAGTCAACATTTTATTTTTAAGTAGCAGTCTGAATTAAACGGTATTTTTCCGCATTATTTTACGAATGTTTTCATACAAATTCGATCTGTTTAAGAGATGATTACTTTTTTGTTAACAACAGGGCTTATGCACCGTGAAAATAAGACGGTAAACGTTTATTTGCACAAGAATATTTCATATTTGCTGTGATCGACAATTGATTTTGCCACTTTGACGTAGCGCATACACGAGCTAATTATACTAGTCTTCCTTTGCATGTTAAAAATCGTATAGAAATTTCAGTGTAACCGTGGGGTTTACCTTTTATAATCATAACTTATGTACCATTTTTTATGAGATTTACAATAGTACGTAAAAAATGTTAACGAAACCATATAATGACGGAAAAATATGCTTACATAGTGTGTTTAATACAGCTTTAAATGAATACAAAAGATACACGCACAGTCAAAGTAAATGATTTAGTTATGGAAATGAAAAAACAGTTCCTGTTTATTAAAGGAGACAATATTCTGGTTAATGAAGGAGTATACAAAGACACAGACTCCGAAATATATTATAAGCTCACACTATTTTCGGAAAAGTCCAGCAATTAAAAGAACTCATATTAATTAATCTTGCTTTTTATTAATTCAATCTTTGTCAAAATTAAGGATGCTTTATGTTAAATATCTCAAGATAGATAGCTATACATGTAATTATTAGAGTTTAAATTATCAAAATACAATTATTTTTTCGTCACATACAACATTTATTCATCAAACATACCAGGGCGTAGAAGTGAAGCTGCAATTTTAGCTGGCACATCTAATCCCGGAATAGTGGCATCAATGTATGTCAAGGTCACAAGTGTAGGCGGTATCTCACATTCTTCAAGCAGTACAGGCACAATACAGCTATAGCCACAACCCATAGAGTTTATAAATGCGGCGTCAGTTTCATACTTACACCAGCCACTTTCGAGAAAATTTTGTGTCAGAAAGAGTAATACCTTTAATGAAGACATCATTCCTTCACGTATATTTACTGTTATATCCTTCCCACCCTGAAAGTCCCGTTCATCAAATACACATTGTAGACCAAATCTCTTTTCGACGTCCTCAATTACTGAATGAACACGTTCTTTGTCTAAACTGGTGTAAGACACAAAGAAATGCTTTGTTTTACCTTCGGGTAAAGCTGGTATCTTAGTTTTTAAATCCTGATCACGGCAATCATTTGCAAAATATTCTGCATTATTTTCTGTACTCGTAGCCATTACTGAAGTTTTTTTCTACACATTTATATGTCGTTCAGGATAAGATCAATGCTAAATATATATATAAGGGGAATACCAGCGTGTTTACCGACACTATTTCAATGTGAATAATGGCGTATTTGAGAATTTCGGTGTGTGTTATTTACTTTTTTGGTATTGTTCTACATGTAAAAGGCGTAAGTTTGCTGTTTTATCTACTTAATCCAAATAATTTGTTAAATTAAATGTGTGACGTATTGCTATTATGGGATATCTATTTCATAAACATTAGTGATTTCCCTTTGTACGTTTAACTTATATGAAATACATACATATTTAATGAAATACACGTGTACCCAACCGACCAAAAAAGTTTAATTCTGCACAAATTTCGTAGTGAAAAGTTTAAAATATGAGTTATATTGAATCATTTCAGATTACATTTAAGCAATACACAGTAGTAAATGAAAACGTTCGTCTACAATATTTAGATCAGCTGTCTTTGCTATAGTGTATATAAGCTATTGAAGCGTTTAGAAATGTATAAAGTATGCTTAAAATAAACATGTACATGATTTTATATAAGATTTTATCACGTACCCGTCTGTCGTGTGTTAACGTTGATATTATGTGTTAAAACACTTGTGTTCATGTTTTATGAGTAACAATTTTATTTGGTAGATGTTATAGGAAAACAAAATATATATAGTGATTTAATAGGACTTTTGGATTATTCAATATTCAGAAAACAGAAATTATCTAAAATGATATAACATAATTATTTGCCATTTACTTCCAAAGAGGCAGCATATTAATTAAATTTCTTATCTACGTTAAGCCATAGGAAAATAAATATAATAAATCGTTAAGATAGTATTATCATCCTTATTCTCAACAAATGTCACATAAAATTACGGGTTGATAATATTTAACAATTCTATATGTATTGTTCTTACATCAGTATCATTCTAAAAGGACTCCGAAATTAAAAAGTCTTGCAACGTTTTTAATCAAATCGCACAAAGACTAGCACAAACATACCTGTTTCCATATATTTTTTTCAGCATATTTCTCAATCACTATTTGAATATCTTTCTGGTTTTATTGCCCTGGATGATCTATTTAAGAAATTCGAATTTTATGTTTCGAGGCTATTTGTCCTTTAAAATGTTTAATACTAAAAAACCTAACCAAATATAATACTATATTGTAATGAGTAAATAGAGCAAGATACATATGGGTATAATGTGTCTTTATAGTAAAATATTTACAGTTTATTACCTTTCTAATAAAATGTATTAAGTTTATGTAAAGGGTTTTTACATCTTTTTTCAATCTTAAGATTGATGTAGGTTTTCCACTCTGTACATTAAGTTTGAAGGTTAAATAAACTTCGAAGCAGGCTATGTAAGGGATTTTTATACCTATGTATTACGTTTTCCCTACATTATGTTGAACAATTTGAAGTCTGCCCGGACTTTATAATGCCTCGTAAAACCTGATACACAAAATTTCAATTTACGAACCAAACGTTACTTAAACCAAGACCCTATTCATTTAAGCAGAATGGTTGTTCAAAAAATATTGGCAATATTTTACATTTAACATACTTAAATTTTCTTCAAATCGAAGGATTTGCTAAATCATTCTTTGTTGGTAAACAGATTGGCAAGGAAGACGGCTATGCATCATTATCGAAACAATTTCTTACATATCTAATATAAAATATGTTTACAAATATTTCTGATTCAGACACCATTTACATTTAACGATGAGACATCTATTTATCCAAGACGTTTTAACAATATCTAGCAATTGTTTTTATTTTCTTCATGTCAAAGTATCTCTTTCAATCATTCTACATTGTTACAGTTTATATCGTATTTATAGCGATTGTATAGACATTGGCGAAGCTGATATTAAAAAGAGACTTATAAAACAGAATAGATCTTTGTATATAGATGCTTTATATCGAAACAATTCCTTACATATCATCACTTTCTATAAAAGTCTGTTTCTGTTTCAGACACCATTTACATTCAAGGGCGAGTCATTTATATATCCACAACTAAATGTGACATGTCCATCTGAGCAGCCTTTCATAATGAAAACCGGTAATCGGTCTATTTGCGTTTCATCATGTGGACCTACAAGGGTGGCAGATGGTAAAATATGTATAAAAGTTGAAGATTGTAAAAAGCCTGTGCTGTCTGATGAAAAATGCATAGAAATGTGTGAAGAAGGATATTTGTACGTCACGTTTGATTATGACCTCATCAGTGACTGTGGTACTGAATTAAATGAATGTTCATATTCAAAGAAAAATATCGGACAGAAATTATGTGAAAAGAAAACTTTTATAATTCTGAAGATAGTCGGTTATGTTATGGTGATCATTCTATATATTGTCTTTCTGTTGATGTTCTTCTCGAACAGGGAGTTTCCATGCAATAAACTCGTGAGTACAAATTGTTATCCGTATTTATCTTTGTCAAGTGCTTGGCATAGCTTAAGTAGATTCTATCTGTGTAAGACATTTGTTTACTACACTTGTCACTTTCTCGTCCTTTGTATAGTAACTATCTATTAAATGGGCTTAATGTTCTATGTAGAAAATCCCGTAATATTGCTTGTTACTGATGTTAGACATGATAGAAAATGTCAATTATTCATTTCTTAAAAGTAACAAATTGACAATTAATTCCATTTTTTATTTCAGACTTTGTGGTTTAAAGTCAGGAATCACATGACAAAAACATCGTCAAGCGAGCTGCTGTGTAATGATGACGTCACAGATGACGGATTCTGTGAAAATTAAGACATCATAGTCTAAACATCATTTCTGGTTCATAACGGGGTTTTCAATATACATTTATAATAAATGATTTTTATCGAAGTTAGTGTCATTGTCTTTATAAAAGTAATAAATGACAAATTACTTTAAAAATATAAATCTTTTCGTATGTATATAATACAGTAAATTGAAAATACACTGGGTTTTAAAATTTAAATATGATGGAACAAGTAAATGCCATTTTACGCTCAACTACTAAGACCCGAATTAGTATCCTTAGTTACATGTTATCTGCTGAACTTGAGCGTTATCCTTTTGAAATTAAAATTATATCCCGTATAATAAAACTTTAGAGTTATCTAATTAAGTCTAATAATATCTGTCATATTTTGCGGTTCGGATCGGAATATCCGTCCCGAGGGCGGGTGACCGAGGGACGGATATTCCGATCCGATCTGCAAACATATGTCAGATATTTTTTCTTGCATATTCTACCATATTATATTTTAAATTCTTTATCTTTATTTTAAATGAAAATTGATATCATTACAACCGTAACTACATTCTTACGACAGCGTATCAATAACAACTTCAGTCATAACGGTAAAATGACGTCATCCTAACCGCACCATTGTACAGCACGCGACTCATCTGGAACCCCCATGCCAGATGAAATTTCCGGCATGGATAAAACTCACGGAAACGCCAGTCTGATATGCAAGAATAATGAATCAAAGATCTCATATATGAGTTACATTGATATGATACAATTTAACCAAAACCTTTTCAAAAAAATACCAACAGGCACCTCTATATTGTGGTAAAAGCTAGCTGCATCAAACATTAATCGACCAATAGATGCAAGAATAGTTCTCACCACTAGAAAAGCCTCATAACGGTATACTTTATGGAAGTTTTAAAAAGCAGTTTTGACCTATTATGATTTTTAAATAATCTCCCCAAACCCCTTTTTGTTATCTCTTTTGCATTTCCGAACTGCTACCCATTGTTTCCCTGTGGAAAAAGTTCGTTTGAATCAGTCTGTCATATCCATTAACAAATAAAGTGCCAACAATGTTACTTTGAGGACATTGACGTTAAGATGTGTTGTATTTTAAAAAGCCTTTTTTCTGAACTAAAATAAGATAACAAATGCCATCGAGATTCCTCAACAGATAAAATATGCTTAACTTTAAGGAACTACCAATCAAAAATTATTGTCAGACCCTAACAAACCTCAGTTCATACATTAAGTGTGTAATAAAAGATAAAGAACATAATAAGTAAAATTAAATTAAATATTAAATATCAATTGATGCATTCCACATACCTGATAATTGTAAATCCCAAGGAAATTCCCATCTAAATGATATTCGTTGTCTTTTTGTGGAAATGTATAACCTTATTCATTGTCATCTTCATTATATTTCACAGCTTTCTAATACCCAAATTTTCTCCAAAGTCAAAAAATAATTAATAAGACTATTTATAACCACGTTGAAACCAGAAATAGATTTGTTTGTTGTTTCTCGTCCTGAATCACATGCCATTGCTATACACATGTAAACATTATTTTTGTGTAATTTGTGACAGTTGATAATAAATCGATTAGAATTTGTGTCAGGAAAAAAAATAAAAAGGAAAAGATAAATCATTTAGATTTTTATCTCAATAATCGGTAACCCAGGCTATTTACCTGATTTGTAGTATACCGTATACCGAATGTGTACAGTGTGTCCCGACACTGCAGTAGATCACGCCTATGCATGTGCTGTATGTACAAAGTTCAAAATGTCAATGCAGATTTTCTTTACAATGTTTTAATTTAAATATAAACTTTCGTTCAGCAAGACGCGTACTAAATCGGCTGAAAATGTTGCAAAAATGTAAATACATAATTATAACAAATCCTTATTTTCTTAAAAGTATAATATTAATTTTACCCAGGTTTAACTACTATATTATATAATTTATATTCCGACTGACATTAAAATGATCTATTCTAGTTGTTATTGTGTTGAAATTAAATTTCTATTTTTACATGTACGTCTCATCAATGTAAACATACTGAAACATTTTTTACGTAATAAAACCAATGTTTAAAACAAACAGATACATTCATATTTAAACTCAATGTGGCAAATATTATATTAAACAAAATGATGAGGGGATGGTTTTAATGGAAATCATACACTTATAATGAAATTACAATCGTTTATGTTGGAATTGTCAGTTTAAATATACTATTATTATAAAAACCTATGACACCTTAGTCTGCATGGATCTTTCTTCTTATAAAATATGTGTAGATACTCCTACTTTATGCTTACGGCTTGCAGTCTAATGTATAATTTCACATATATTTTTTGTATATGTTTATGAGACAGATTGAAAAAGTCATGAAGAATTTTTTATGTGGTAATTGTATTTAAATAATCATGGTATCATAAATAACCCTGTATTATGTTTAAATTGCCATGATTTTATATTTAAGGATTTGTGAATCAAATGCAATAATGACAAGTTCAACATCACAAGGCACAATATGGTCTTTTAAAAGCAAGGATATTTCACGGATATCAAGAAAATGCACGGATATAAAGATGGACATCATAAGCTTGGATTTTATAAATAATATTCTTGTTTATGGTTCCATACAGTTTGAACAGGATTGAACTAGTTTTTAACAAATTGTGGAAATACGATGAAACTAATATTTTCAGAGTATTTTTTTTAAAAATAATAATGATTAAAGTGATTTTTTTTCTCATAGTTTTCGCTATTATGTTGAGGTGAATTATCAGTAATGTATTGACTTTCACAACGGTAAACGACCAATTATTTAAAATGAAAAAAATGTTGAGGATAAAATACAAAAGATCTACCTTAATTAAAAAGACTGCCTCACTTAAAAAAATAATTGAACGTTACAAATAATGACTCTATGACATATCTATTCCTGGAAAACTCGACCCCTAACCTAAACATAAAGACGTTTTACCCGAGACAAGAATGTAGGCGTTTATTTAGTAAAAAAGTGTTGTTTTTTATAAGTTTGAATATTATATACAAACTGACAGATACATTTGATTATATGTTAAATCATATTAACCGATTTTATTCATGAACATTTTGAGTCAAGTTTTTCATAAAAGCCCCGCATTACAGAAATTAAAGAATATATATAATATAAAAAACTTTTATCAAATCAGTTAATTCAAACTTTACACAAATGTTGATGAATTTTGTATCTTTAAATAAATGTCATCAGGTAATTTTCTGTTACCTTATGTCAAATATTGAGACTCTAAAATTCGAAAATCACCTATTTGGTTAATTTTTTACTTTATTTTAAAGTGCAAGTACGTTATTGTATATGAAATAGAGTATTTTTCAAGCTTTCTACAAAGTTAAAGCAGTCAAGTTGGGAACATAATACGCCTTCTAAAGTTCCAAATTTCTAGCATATAGGTACTGTTAAACAAACGAAAGGGACATCCCCTGCTTAAACTTGCTCTGAAAATAATCTTTACTTGCTGGGCGCGCATGGGAAAATTCAATTTTTTTATAACAACATTTTCTTAACACATACAAACAAGTTTGGAGGCCTAAATCAAGGCATCTTTTCAACGCATTAAGGAAACAAAATGAATAGGGGCCTTTGAAAAAATTGTTAAAGGCGTGTATAAGCGATTTGTCCGAAATTTTGTAAGTCATTAATCTTCTTCTATTTAATATTGCTTGCTTAGACGAGTAGAACAGGAATTAAACAATACTAAAGAATATCACATGTTTAATAAGTAGTAAAAATGTAAACATAGAGCCAATGAATTCAGTTATTCTTGCGTTAATTATACTGTTTTCATTTATTATTTTACATCTGAGTCTCTTAGAGCATAAATAAAGTTTTCAGTTTTTGCTTTGTACATTTTCCTTTAGTTTCTATTTATTGAACCCTAAAAATTACGAAATCTAAGCCGATTTGGTAAATATATATACTTTTGTTTATACAGAATTTAATTTTTGTTTCGAGTTGTGTAGGAACCTATAAACTTATAGACACACTTTCGAATCCGTTCCTGGAGCCACCAACCAGTACTGAACAATGAGTGTAAAGTTCCTGCTCAAAGGAAACATCGACTTGTCCCTGACGGGGTTTGAACCCATGCGGCTAGCGATCATGAGATTACTAGTCCGACGCGTTAACCACTCGGCTATGCCGCCACTCTAAATAATATACTTTATTTTAATAACATAGTCTTGTACGTGTATTGTTATACATGAAATAAAAATGTATTTTTTATATACTCTTCACTGCAAAAATTAAGCAGCAAGGTTGCAGAAAACAGAACAAAATACCGTCTTTCTAATATTTCACAATCCTTCCTCAAACACATTATATAGAACTGTTGAAAAGAATCGAAATGATACTTCACTATGTTCATATTATAACATTTTTGCTTTGAAAACAATCTGTATACTTCTCTGCCAATGGGAAATATCTTATTTTTTATGGTATGTAATTATTTTAACCAGGTTTTCTTTCAGTATCACGTGACAGTACAAGACAATCTTGCGACCCTAGATCCGGAATGCACGGGACCCGGGATCTTATTAAGCATAAGTGGAAACGAATAAACTGAATAGGGCCTAATCATTGAAACAAATTGATATACGACCACGGGCGTACCGAATACAGCGATTTGTCCGAACCATTGTTGTGACACGTGACAATGTTTAATGAACTATCTTCTTCTATTAATATTGGCTACTGCGTTAGTGACGTAGTAGATTATGCGAGGAAAATAACAATATATATTGAAGTTTTTGTCAGCATTTGCTCTTGAATTAAAATGTCAGTAATGAATGATTGAAACATAGAGCCAAAACTAGATCAGTATCTTGCGTTTACTTGAATCTGTTTTTCACTTTATTCATTTTACCATCAGTGGTCTCTTAAGTGTAGCGGATAAATAAAGTTTTGTGTGTTTGCTCTTTTTTCCCTGTGTACGTTTATATGTAGTATACATAGTGTCCGAAATAGTTCAATATAATGGTATTACATACGCGAAGTCGATGTTTTAATGTTTATAATAAAAACACGAAATAACAAATTGCCAGTAGAGACCGGAAGTTGGAATAGCATCGAACTTAACAGGCGGTGAAATGGTATGGAGGCTATTTGTTGCCAAAAATCCAGCCTTTACTACTTGACAATGCATACTTCGGTTCTACTAAACAGACTTGTGAAAATCTAATTGTCGATCCGAGAGTTACATCCTGCACTGGTATTAAGCGTTTTGATTATCTCGATTTGATAAAAATGAAGTTGTTTACATGTAACTTAGCTAAATTACAAA